GTTCCCAGTCAGTAGGTTTTCTTTTCACCCTCTGGGGAAAAGTTTTTGAAGTGCACAGAGATTTAATCTTTAGAAGGTCCCATGAATAGGGCAGCAAGTAATAGATGTTGGAGAGGATGTGGCAAGAAAGGAACTCTTATACATTGTTGGTGGGATTGTAAAATAGTACAACCATTCTGGAGGGTAGTTTGGTGCTTCCTCAAAAAGCTGAACGTAGAAATTCCATATGACCCAGCTATTCCATTACTTGGAATATACCCTGAGAATATGAGAACTAAGGCACAAACTGAGAGTACACCAATGTTCATAGCAGCATTATTCACCATCGCAAGAACATGGAAACAGCCCAAATGTCCAATCACAAATGAATGGATTGAGAAATTATGGTACAGTCACACAATGGAATAGTGTGCAGCATGCAGAAGCAGTAATTTTGTAAATTATTACCTAACTTGAGAGGGACTGGAGAACATTATGCTGAGTGAACTAACTCGGTCCCACAAAGATAAGTATTGTATAAAATTATTATTATAGAATGAGTAAAAGGATCCAGGAAGGGTGGGAGAGGCTGGAAGCAGAGGGATGTGTATGTGCAGGAGGAAGGGTGATTAATCATTGGGTTGTACAATTTGATGGGGGGGGTGAGGGAAATTGAAAGAATTTGTTCAAATTTGTATTTGAATTTTGTAAATAAACTAGTAGAAAAAAAGAAAAACTTAAAATCAAATTAAATAAATAAATGAAACAGCTACCATTTAGTGAACAGAATTTTTGCATCTAGGAAGGGATAGTCTTTGAGATCCGGTCTGGAGGAATAAACATATCAAGAATTTGTTCACAAGTATGTTTTGTTGTCTTTTTAGAGTCCTGGAGTAGGGGAGCTGGGTTTGGGTTTCTGGTGGTAGTAAAGCTCAAACACTTAGCCTCTGCTCCAGAGAGGAGGGTTTCAATGGCCTGCTGTATGCTGAGGTCTTGCCCCAACGTGAGTTTACTAACAGGACAGAGGTAGCCAATGACTGTAGACAGGCTGCCAGCCCTGGGAAACTGGGTTCAGCTGCTTTGAGATGCAAGCGTCTGGGTTAGCACTTCTTTTGCTATTTTAGGATGCTCATGGACAAAGAGGCGAAAATATCTTGTTACATCTGTCCATTCTAATGCAGGAGCACTGACTACTTTTTGTTTCAGGGTATCAAAAGCATATTGCTCTTCTCTAACCCAGATCAGCGGCTGATTTGGGTGTGTTGTAGGTGCATAAAGTGGCTTTGCCACCTCCACAAATTTTGGTATCCGGAATCTGCAATACCCTACTGCTCTGAGAAACTCTAGGAGCTTTTTAGTGACTGACACCACAGGATAGCATTTTATCAGTCTTTTGTTAGTTGTCGGGTACTGTGTGAGTTTACAGTTCAAGAAAGTAACTGTTTGCTGACATATTTTTGTCCTTTAGTGGAACACTTTAAAGATTTTTCCTTTATAAAAGTTGGAGCAGTTTGTGTGTGTTTTGCAGGCAGTTAACATCAGTGTCTACAGCAAGGAGCAGGTTATCAGCCTATTGCAGAAGATTTCTAAAAGCTGACTAGTATTCATGCCAGCAAATCCTTCAAGCTTCTGGCTGGGGCTTTTTACTGATATCCATGACTGACTGAGACACAAAGGTGGGGTTAAGGGCCCTAGTGTTCTCAGGAGTCATTGATCAAAAAGAGATGCACACTTGAAAATTTTCGCCAAGTCCCTCCAAAAATGCACTGAGTATTTTTTGGACCCTGTATTACTTCAGTAGTTTAGTTTAAGTTGGTAGCTTTCCGAGCAGTTACTCAGAGACCTGACAGCAAAGCTTGGTGGTAAGCACCTGATGACCAGGTCTCTGCAGTGATGTTGGGGGGGGTCCCACACAGGACAGCTAACTGGCATTGCTTTGTAATTGCTCACACCTTTCCTGAGTTGTTTCTGGGAGATTTTTCCAGAGTATCTTTATCAGCAGCGGAGAGGATATGCTTGAGTTGAGGGAGGATTCAGAAGTTTCCTTGTTGGGTAGGACAGGCAGGGACTATTATAAAGGGGTCTCTAGTTAGGTGTGAGTGGCCAGAGAAATTAAAAATCAGAGGCTTTTGGTCTCTTTATTGCACTAAATTAAGTTCATTCACCCCAGAGAAGAGAAGGTAGTCTTTTCCAAATATCCCATTCTTTCTACCTTGTTTTCTGTTTTACTTAGAAAACAAGCTCAGATAGCATCCTGAGGAAAAGGAGTACAAGTAACATTGGAAGAGAGTAGGGTTTTATTCTGGGTGTGTTTTCTACTTCAGATACACAGAATCAGTGTCTACATATCAACAAGATCCCTCTGTAATTAGACTTTCTGATTCTTCTAGCTGGGATTTTGTCAAAGAATAGGGTCTGATTCAGCATATTGAACTGAAAGGGAAATTTTCAGCAGGGAGGCTGAATGTGAATTAACTGGTTCAAAGCTCTAAAATGGAAACACCTCTTGCCTTATAGCAGCTCCAAGACTGTTGTCAGGGACTAGTTCTTGGAGTGGCAGGAACCGATCAGGAGTTCTGAGCACAATAGTGATTACTGATTCTTTTTCCCTAGTTGTCTGGGCAGGTGCGATATAACCCAATCAGCTCTCCGCTTGCCCAGAGGATAAGAGAATAACACTGGTTTATAGTTACAAGGAGAAGACAGTAGTGACAGAAGATGCCTGAGCGGGGGAGAGAAGATGTTGGGGTTTTATACATCCTCTATTCCCAGATTTTATTCTGGAATTAACAGCCTCTTTACTGTGCCTTACTAGGCTTCAGGGCAGAGGGAACAAGGATGGGGTGAACTGTGGTGGATCCTATGCAGGGATGGCTTGGTAGACTCGAGGGGAAAGGGTCTGGGTGAGAACATGCCAGGAATTAATATAAGGAAACTGATTAGGATGACCAGGGTTTTTAGTAAGAACAGATTTGACTGCTCTGACTTTGCACAAGTTTTAAGTGCTTTCTGATAGCTAGTTGACATCAAAGGAAGTCCGTTCCTCCCTGAAAAGTGTAGGAAGACAGGCAGCAGATATTGTAACTCCACAATTTCCAGTTAATCTTTTAGAAAAGTTCTGAACTAAACAACCTAGGAGGCTCAACTTAAACTGAGAGAAGTGAATTCTAGAAGAGATAGGAATTTATCAGGAAGAAAGAAGGAAAAGTGTCCACAGAGTATTAGATTTAAAAAAAAAAGTAAATGAAAAGAGGATAGATTTAAACAGACCCTCCCCCTACTGCTTTGGGAGTTCCCTGGCGGTGCAGACATAAGTTAATGGGGTTGCCCCTGAATTCAGAGACCACACAAGTATCTGCCTGACCCCATCTGTCCTGAGAATTTAGGCCCATCTTGGCTTAAGGAGAACCCATATAAATTTCACGCCAGTTCATCTCACACATGAGGTGGTTCTCCATTATGCTACATGATGCAACCAAGGAACTGCAAGTTAGTACCCAAACCAGACTCAGTAGCTTGGGGTTTCCTTGCTGTGGAGCCGCACAGACCACCTACTGCAGGCATTAGCCAGTTAGGTGCACATACACACACACACTCACTCAACCAAACACTCAGAGGTTATTACTTTATCTCCCCCAAAACCCACAGAGAGACAAATAAGCACACAAACCAGAAGCTCAGGTAAACCAGACTAGAAACCTGGGACTAACAGACCACTCATGTCCAAGTTATGGCTAGCAGTCATGGTCAGTTCATGTCCGAACTTACTTGACCATTACAGAAACCAGAATTACAAAGAGTCAGACTCACCATGGAGGTTTTTGATGAAGGTTTGTTGATCTGAAGTCATCTCAGACCCAGTTACCAGAGCCAGGATAAGAAAAGGGGGCCCAGGGAAGTCACAGGTGATGTCGCTGGAACTGAGCGAGCCCCAGCTGCTCAGAGCAGAAAACTTAGAAAATGAGCTAAGGATCTTGCTGGTGCCTCCAAATGTTATGGAAGCAAATGCGAGATTTAAACACTCAGCCAATATTGGAGATTAACAAACCTTCTATTACACACGGGTCAAAAATGTTAGCTATTGCCCAAACCATTCTGATCCCAAGGGGAAGCAAAGATCGTAGAAGCAGAGATTGAGCATGGGGGTTACACATGTTTCACAGTGGTTGGTAGATGAGATTTCTTCCCAGTTGGGAGTCATTATTGTTTTTGACTTCTCATGGGTGTCCAAGGCCCATGTCAGGTACAGGATGCAGTCAGTGGTGTGTAACCAAGATGGGTCAGAATGTACTAGGGAACATAAACCTTAGCAACACATAGCAGTGCCAAAATTTTGAAGCACACATTTCTTTAAATGGCTGTCAGAACAAACATGCCTCCGGAAACTCTATGAACTGTGATAAATGTCAATAGCTGTAGAAGGGCTTCAGGACTTTTGTTCATAGGGTCACTAAAAGTTGTGCTCGACTGGAAGGCAATCAACAACAACAACAATACCAACATACACAATGGCTTCTTTAATGCTTACCATTTAAGCTGCTACTACAGTAAAAATCGGTGCTTCAATTTCTAAGGCACATGATTCAATTTCGCCAGCTGTTTTGTGGGAGAAGGATGTTCAATCTTTTCTCATGTGATTACTGCCTCTGAAAACCCTGTGGAGGGTCAGCTATGGGTTGGTTGGTATTCAGTGATATACAACAACAACAACAATTACACATAGGGAGCTCTTGTGGAGTTGTGGTAAGGAATTGTGTTACCATCGTAAAGTAACATCAAATCCACCAAACACTCCACAGGATAAATATGTGCAATCTCCTTCCATGCAATTTACTGCCTCTGAAAACCCTCTGACAGGTCAGCTGTCAGTCGGTTCCCACTTAATGGTACATGATAAAATAATCAAATGTAGTAAAATGTATAGAAGTAACAGTTTAAGGTGTTATACACTCATGTTATCAACATCTGGTCAACATGTTGAGTATCACAAGGTATTATCTATTTTTTTTCTTCTAATTTAGGCAAATGTCATCGTGTCTGACTGGTATGGAGCTCACGGTGATGATCCATACACTCTACAATATAGAGGGTGTGGAAAAGAGGGGAAATATATTCACTTTACACCTAATTTCATGCTAAATGATAATTTAACAGCTGCCTATGGACCAAGAGGTAAGTCCAACCAATTAAGAAATAACCACTGTACCATACTACTGTGTTTGGTCCTTGGGTGATGTAAATGATCTGAGTTTATCTAAGAATCTAATGATTGACAGTTATAACCCACAAAAACAGTGTTGTGAAAGACCTGATGATTTGCTTACATACAGCCAAGAAAATTCCATAAAACAATTCTATCCCTAGAATTGCTCACTGTGAATCACAGGGGCTTTATTGAATCAAGTTTGGAACATTTATGGGTTTAGGGGATTTTTTTGGGGGGGAGGAGAGCAGTTGGTATGTGTGTGTACTTGGTGTTAATGAAAGCTTTAAGAATCTAAAAGCTCCCAGAACATAGTATTTAGATGAAGAACTAGACCACATGTTCATGAAACTCAACTCAATGCTATCCATTTGCAACCAACTCATGGCAGGCCGTCCAAGAATGTTCAAAACTGTAAATCACATTGGAAGAGATTGCCCATCATAGCTGGTGCATCCCATCCACCAGAGAGGCTACACATTTGGGCTAGTCGTGCAACTCCATACAGACTATGTCAACAGAGCCACCTTAAGCCCATGAAAAGATGTTGGGGTGGGAGGCAGGAAAGCCAGGAAGAGATAAGCAGATTATTTGTGCAGAAAGTAAGTGTCATAAGAAGTCAGTGAAAGTAGAGCCCACTTTGAGCCAAGGATGATCAGAAATAATCTCTGAGAGGAGACAAATTTTCAAGGTCATAGATTACTTGGACAAAAAGCAAATAAAGAAGAGAATAGAGTAGAGAGAGTATGAACAAACTTCCAAGCCTATGTGAGAGAGGAGGAGCAGTTGACCCTGTTGAGTAGTGCGGAGAGACTGTGAAGTAAAGTAGTAAGAGGGGAAAATGTTGACATGTGTGTGAGTTTGAGGGACAGAGAGTATCAACTGCTCAAATTAGTAAATCACCACTGAAGGTTTCTCAGTGCAAGAGTGACACCATTGAAGTAGAATTTCAAGAAGATGAAATTGATCGTGTGGAGACTAAAGTGGAAAGGGAGTACTGGGATCCTAGAGATAAGCTGTGCTGCGGTTCTAATCAATACATCAAATGATCTGAAGGAGAAGGATGGGCAATCTCCTCTTGTGCAATATACAGGCTCTAAAATTCCACTAGAGGATCAGCTATGGGTCAGTTCTGACTTGAAGCTATACAACAACAACAAAAAGAGGTTCTGTATGAAGCCATCAACTCTTGAGCAAGGGTGGAGGAGGTGGAAATGAAGAAGCAATTAGAAAAGTGAGAATTTCCTATTGTTGAGTGTTGTGCTTCTACTTTGCAAATGTTATTGTATGGTAAATGTTAAATTGTTATCTTGTGCTTTTCAAATGTTCCTGTATAGTAAGTAAGGAGATATATCCCAGTAGAAAAAAGGAAAGAAACCAGAAAAAAGGAAGGAAAGCAAAGTCCCTAAAAAGCAAAGGTCAAGGGTGTGAGCTACATGAAGGAATGCATGTACCAAGTGTTTGTCAGAAATGGAAAAAAAAAAGTTTAAAGTTAGAAATGAACATGTCTGATTGTTGTTGTTGTTGTTGTTATGTGCCATCGAGTGGTTTGCGACTCATAGCAACCCTGTGTACAACAGCCCTAAACCATGTTCTATCCTGTGCCAATCTCATTGCCTCTGACACACCCATCCCGAGTACCCCAGTCACTGAATCAATCCACC